CTTTAAACACCTTCCGTGTTTGGCGTGGGGAACATGTGAACTCCTCATCCAGAGCTGTACAGACCAGAGCTTTTGCTTTGTGGACAACTGTCACCCTACGACGAGCTGTGCTTGGTGCCTGCGCCCTCAGCTCCCCCCACCCAGTGACCTCTGCTCTGTCCTCCACTTCTAGGAAACCAGCTTTCTTAGCTTCCCTCATGTGTGGGAGCCTGTGCCGGCGCCTGGCAGTCTTCACTCTGAGATCTCCGCCTGCTCCACCAAGTGGCTGCAGACGGCAGGACCTCCTGATTTTTTGTGGCTGACTAGGGCTTCCGTGTGCACATGATCCAGGTTTCTTTACCCATCTCTCTGCCGATGGGCACGAGCGTGGTGCCCTGCCTTGGCATTTTCCCAGGACGAACCTGGCATGGGCCTGGTGACCTCCAGCTGCTCTGTGGGCACGGTGGGTGGCATTCCCCCCAGCGGGGCACGAGGGCCCCCCGTGCATCCTCTCCAGCACTGCTGCCCCTTGTCTTTTTGATGAAGACCATCATCTGGGGGCAGGGGGTCGCTCACCTGTGAGTCTGACTGGCCCGGCCTGCGGTWGCTATGCCCGGTGTTTCTGGGTGCGGTCAGCATTTGTGTGTCTTCCTGGCAGGAGTGTCTCTGCGGGCCAGCTGCCCTTTCCACTGGGCACTTGCCACTGTGTTCTGATRTGGTGCCTCTGCTGAGGGTGGCCTGCAGACCCCTCCCGAGGTCCCCCCTGCCCCGACGTCTCCACACCGAGCTCATCTTCTGGGTCTGACAGGCATCCATTTTTGCTTTTGTTGCCTGTGCTTTTGGGATCTCACCCCAAAGTCTCCCCTTGTGTGTCTTAAAGTGCCTCCCAAAACCCAAGGAACGAGAATGAACGTTTAAAAGCAAAACAAAACAAAAGATGGGGGCATAGTCATGTGACCAAGTGCTACTAAGCCATTTTAAAATTTTAATAAAAGAGAAATAAGTCATTGATAAAAAATACCAGAGTGGAATTTCCGGGCACCTAGTGATGTAGGACCACTTTTATGAGGAACTGAGAACAGTTTCCCAAGCAGCCACCGTGTTGGGTCCACATCCCACCGAGATGCCCCGTGACCTCCAGCGGCCCTGCTGTCAGCCGCTCTCACAGAACCGTCCCGGTGTGTGCGATGGTCTGCACTCCCCAGTGACTGACGGTACACAGCATGTTTCATTTCTTTTCCTTTGGAAAAGTCTCTGTGTAAGTGTTTCGTCCATTTTTCCAAAATCGGGTTGTGCATCTCTCGTGGTTGATTTGTGGAGGCCTCTGTACATGSTGGATAGAGCCTTCGTCAGTGTGCTCGAGAGGGGCTTCTCCGGTCAGRGCCTCCTGTGCTGTCCAGACCCACCTGCCTCAAGCTCACGCGGTGCTCCCTGTGTGTCCTCTGGGAGCTCCACGGCTCCACTGTGCATCTTGAATCAATGTTGGTGCCTGCAGAGAGACAGGACTTGGGCTCACTTTTCCTGCACAGTGGCCATCGTCCCAGCCGTGACCGTCTGCTGCTCTGTCCCTGTTGGATGGAGCCTCCTGCCGTCTTGCCCTCACCCCAGGGCGGTGTTTCCTGGGGACTGTGGCTGGCCCTGGTGCCTGCCCTCGAAGTTCTGCTACTCTGCTTTTCCTCAAGAAGAGCTCCTGGGCGCCTTGGGGGTCCACACCCGCTTTAGAATCAGCTTGTGATTCCCAGAGGAGCCAGTGCACTGCGCTATGGTCGGGTCGCACTGCGTCTGCAGAGGTGCATCTCTCTGCTGGGGACACGGGTATCCCTTGGCCTCTGAGGCCTCTCGGCAGCGTCCACAGCTTCCCATGCAGGCCTCACATGCTGTCTTTTAGGCCTGCTCCCAGGTGGTTGTGCTTTCTGATTTGGGCCTACCGTTCTCTCTGTGGGAAGCTGTGGATTACAAATTCAGTGTTTTCAATAGATACCAGGCAGAGCCGGGGTGTGCTCAGCAGCGGGCCTTTCCTGGGTTCCAGTGCAGGACTGCTAATGAATGAATGAATGAATGAGCAAGAGGAAGAGGAAGTTCCTTATAACCCTTTTACTTTTTGAAGGAGCTGTGAATTCCTGGTGTGGTTTGTATTTTTCTTGAGGATTCTTCTTGAGAGTTTATTAATAAACATAATAAAGAACAAACCCTCCTGCCGCAGTCCGGCTGCAGCAAAATAACCGGGGGGTGACGAGCAACTTGTGTACATTGATCCAGCAGGAGTGGGAGCCGTTTATTGTAGGACAGGAGGGGTACATATACGTTCCACCCAGCTTATCTAATTAACATAAACTAGATACAGCAGTCAACCAATAAGGAATCTCCACACTTCATGGCTCGCTGGCSTTACTTCACAAACCACTCCCTCTGCAAAATGCCAGGCGCCATCCCGACTTGTTTACAGACCCTAACACCCTCCCTTGCTGGTGATCTCTGCGGCTGGAGCCTTTCCGCTGGCTTTTCGCTCCGAGTTCTGCTCATTCCTCCCCCACGGGTGGAGCAGCTGTTCTTCTCCTGACGGATCTTGAGGGCCCTGCCTTCTCCCCTGGGGCACCTGGGCCTGACTCCTTGGTCCTGGCTCTGACCCCTGCCTGTGGGTGGGATGTCTGCAGCGCTCTGCTCTGTTGCTGACCGAGGCTGGGTCCCGGCATCTTGTCCTCCYTCATCTTCCATGGTGAGTGGGGACTTGGGTGGAGGTGCAGCCCTTATCCACCACCTATGGGTCTTCAATACCAACATTTCACAAACTCTTGGGAATGGATACGTAAAATCCCAACAGAAAAATCAGCACATGACCCACACAGGCAGGTCGCCGTGCAAGAGAAGCACGTCCCGTGAACTTGGAGAGGCTTTCATCTCTTCATGATCCAAGAAAGGAAACGGTGGTGGGAAATTGAGTCTGCACTTAGCAGATTGGCAAAGTTCAAGATAAAATGGGGAAAGGCATCTAACGTGTTCAGGAACTAAGGGGACTGAACTATCTAACACACCAATAAAAATATGGAAAAAATAATTAAGGGAAATGAGTCAGTGTTCTGCCCGTTGCCAGAGATTTCTCAGATGCTGCAGGCTCTGACTGTCCGGGTCTCACAGGAACAACTGAGCCCTCTAGGAACAGTGCTGTCCAGGGGGCCAAAGCCCTCGCACCAGCTGTTGCACTGCCCAAGTGGACTCATGACTAGTCCAAACTCACAAGGGCAACGTGAGACTGAAAGGTCTTCCACTTAGCATGGTAGTGCTCACTAGGGCTCCCTGGGCATGCTGATGGACAGGTGAGAGAGAAAGAGAGATGTTGTCAGGATGATGGACAGATGCGAGGTAGAAACATGATGATACATGGTAGGTGATACGTGACAGAGATGATGGATAGACAGAGAGATGATACATAAATTATACTGATAGATGATAGAGGTGATCAATAGATGGATAGATACATGGTCAATAAATGATTATCATAACAGACAAAGGATGTTATAATGAAAGATAAATAGGTGGGATAGATGAGTAGGTGATAGAGATTCATCCAATGAATGGATGATAGGTAATAAGTAGAGATAGATGATAGGTAATTGATAGATGATAGATGATAAGAGAGATGACAGATAAATAGATAATATATGATAATAGAGATGAAGGATGAATAGATAGTAGATGATAATAGAGATGATGGATGGATAGATGATAGTACATAGATAATAGGTAAATGTGATGGACAGATGATAGGCGATAATAGAGATAATGGATGGATACATGATATACATGAGGTAGAGGTRATGGATTGGTGACAATAGGGATGATGGATGGATACGTGATAGAATACAGGTAGAAGTGATAGCTAGATGATTGATGATGATACATGGATGACAGAGACAGGCTGGCATGATGGATGGGAGGATGGATGGCAGTCACCATGGGTGGGTGATGGATAGGCACACAGGTGGGTAGGTGACAGATAGTTGGTCTGTAGGTATCTTGTGCATCTTCACGGGCTGTGGTTGTGGGAAGCCACCACAGGACAGAGTGTAGGACTTGCTGTGAAGTCCAGCACAGCACAGTGATGTGCCTTAAAAAACCCCAGTTGGGGGCTGGGWTCATAGCTCAGYGGTAGAGCACTTGCCTTGCACTTGTGAGGTACTGGGTTCGTCCTCAGCACAGAAAATAAATAAAATAAATATATTGTGTCCATTAAAAAAAATCTTTTAAAAAAAGAACATACCTAACAGTCGTAAGGAGTGCTGTACATAATGAGCATGGGTGAATTTTAAAGTCGTGCTTGATGGTGGCGTTCCGGGGAAACAGTGGATATGAGGAGGATAAACACCTGCACGCGCTGACATCGCACACATCAATGTGGTGTGGAAGTGCACTGCGTCACCAGCGTCTCCCCCGGGGCCAAGCCAGATGAAGGTGAGGAGACCCAGTCCCTCCAGGAACACGGGCCCTGTCCTGCATCAGTGGCCTGGGAGAGAGCCGGGGTGGGGCCTCTCATGACCCCTTGCTTGACACCACACTGAGGGGAAAGTGCTGACCAGTGTCCCTGCACAGAACACTCCCGCAGGAGAGCGCAGGGCGCGTCCACGCTGGGGTCACCAGCAATGCAGGCTGCTGCAGGAAGACAGGAAGAGCCCAGGTTGTTTCAGCAGATACCGGAAACACTTGATGGAGCTCCGTGTCTGTTGAAAGCTCAGAGACGCCAGGGACTTCCTTAAGAGTGGGCAGCAGGGGGGCAGGCCTGGCGGAGGGCAGCGGCAGGCCCTGTTCTGCCTGGGTCTGTGGTTTGTATCTCCAAGAGCACGTTGACTCYCAGCAGAGAAAGGAGAAGTGACTCTTGGCCTCTGCTGGGGACCTGGCGGGACACACTGAGGTCGAAGGGTGCTTCTGGAGGCGTGGGTTTGAGGGCGAAGCCGAGGGAGGGTGGGGACTCACGCGGAGCCTTTCTCCCTCTGAGGTGGCCCACTGGGCTCTCTTGTCTCTTCCAGTCTCTCAATGGCTTTGCCCTGGTCGTGAGTGCCGACGGGATGATCTTCTACGCGTCGCCCACCATTGTGGACTATCTGGGCTTCCACCAGGTACGTGAAGCCAGCCGCGGCGCCGGCTGGGTGCTGGGCTGTCAGCTTTGCCCTGCACAGTAGGAGACAGCAGAGACCAGCCCTCGCAGGCCGAGCCCTGGCAGGTGGGTCCCCCTCAGCCTGCAGGAGGCTCCAGATGCTCAGCAGCCATGGTCTGCTGCCGTGGCTCCTCCTGGATCTCCTCACCAGCCTGGTGGGGTGTCCAGACCTGGACAGAGCTGGGCTGGGCTGAGGGGCCTGGAACACGAGCTTGGAGGGTGACATCCAGGAAAGGTACCACACAGAAGGCCCCTCTGCGGCCCAGAGGGGACAGGGAGCTTTTTTGTTTGTTTGTTTGTTTGGACTCTGGAGGGAAATAAAAGTCCGAGGGGAACTCGAAAGGTCAAGCCGAGAATCCACGCTTCCCCCTGGACTTGCTGGGTACTCAGAAGCATATCTGGGGCCCTTTAGTGCATTGAGCAGGCCACCCCACAGAGACGTCCCCTCTGGAGAGAAGGGACACAGTCCTGGAGCAGGAAAAGCCATGAGCGGAGGGAAGAACCCGGGACACAGACACCCCAGCCACTGGGGAGTCAGCAGTCGGAAGGAATCGAGGGCCGAGGAGGCGGCTCTGAGTAGGAGACCGCAGCGACCCCCCAGGAGCAGCAGCCGTGTGAAGACAGCCCACGGGCCACAGAGGGAGCTCGCAGGCTCCCCACCCACTGAGAGGCCCTGGCCCAGGTTGGCAGAGGGCCCTGAGGGTCAAGGGCTGGCCAGAAGCAGGCCTGTTTGCCGGGGGGCCGCCTGGAGGAGGCCCCTGGTGGCTGGGCTGCCCAGCTGAGCCTGTGGGGCAGGACAGCTGGCTCCTGCCTCTGCCAGCATGGAGGGACATGAGGGGTGGTGACATGTGTGGAGTGACATGTGTGGCCATGTGTGGAGTGGTCAAGACCAGCACCTCTGTCAGGCAGAAAACCAGGCCTGCACAGAGCCAAAGGCAGCAGAATCCAGGATCCGAGCGTGTGGGTCCCCAACATGTTAAAACTCAAGTCTGCCTGAGGCCCCCGAGGCCAGCATGTCTTTTACTTAATTTCCAAGAAAAACTTAATTTCAGATAGTTTCCCAGAACTGAAATAGCTATAGCAGTTCCTGGCCCCCACCTCTGAATTCAACTTCCTGCCACCTGAGTCCAAGGCCAGGCTCCCTGCAAACCACGGGGATCTGGTGAGCACCAGGCCTTATCCCGTGGTACTCCTGTCCTGTTCTAAGCCCCGGGGAAGCTGTGTGGAGGACAGGCACACTCACTCACACCCTGGGGCACCTCTCTCCCAGGACACAACCGCGTGTGTTGGTCGCCCCTCTGGACACCCATCACTCCACCTGGGGCAGTCCTACAGCCCTGTGTAGGACCCGACGGGGGGACTGTGTGCTGGACCTGCGGGCTTCACAGCAGCTGGGGGGACACAGCACAGGGGAGGCCGGCTCTGCAGCTCCACAGTCACCTGTCTGCTCCGAGCCTCATTTCCTGTTCGTGCACCGGGCAGTGTCCACCTCTGCCTGCTCCTAGGAGCCACGAGGGGCCCTGGGCACTGGCAAAGGCTCTTGCACCTCGGGGGGGGCCAGCCTTTCTGTCTGCTCTGGCTGGCCTGGGGCCTGGACCTGCCCTGTGCTGTCCCCACGGTCTGCTGCTGGAGAGCTGTCCATCTTCTGGTGATGCACCAGATCTCCAGGGACTAAGGTGGCGGCAGAGTCCCTCATCCCTCAGGTGACACCAGCCCCTGAGCAGTCTGAGGGTGTCTGCCACTCATGCTCAGATCCTCAGATGTCACTCTCATGGTGGGAAGTAGAGAAGTGTCTGTCGGGAGGTCAGCTGTGACTTGATGCCTCCCTCACTGTGGGGTCCCAGTGCTCTTCACAGCCCAGAGCTTGAGGACATGGACAGGTGGGGACATAGCCCTGGATACGGGCCCTTTGGTGGCCTGTGCAGGGTCTGAGTTGGCGCTGGGCCCCTGCCTGCCTTCTTCATGCTCAGAGGGACCTCACCTCTTTCCCAGTGCCTTCCCTAGCATCCATGAGCTCCACAGCACACAGGAGCCGACTCCCAGGAGTGTCCCACCTAGGATTTGGCTCTGGGGACAAAGGGAGGTGCAGGAGGGTGGCATTGATTCCCAGTTGGAACCTGATCTTGGGATGATTGTTTCCTTGGAGCTTCATTATTCCACCCCCCACCCCCAGTGTTAGAGGTGGAAAACAGCTTTCCTTTATTTTAAAGAAATTGTTCCCAAATGCCATTAAATCAGGCTTTGCAGAATTTTCATGAGATGCCACAACAGCTTGTGCTCTTGAAAACATCTCATGCAGAGCACTTTGCCAGAAGCCAGGACCCGTTCCCTACTGTGGCAGCCTGAATGCTCTGTCCCTTGTGTCTTCGTGCCCAGCAGGCCTGTGATGAGCAGGTGGGTTTAGATTCCTGACACTCAGGAAGCTGCCAACCCCTCCTGGTCACTGTGGCAGCTGTCCCCAGTGAGCCATCACAGATAAGACCAGCTCGGTGACCCCTGCAGCTACTACTCTGCAGCCAGGGTCATGCTTATACAGAGAGGTGGAAAGGACAGACTGCAGGAAGGGAGCATGTGTCCGAGCTAGGAGCTGGTTTCACTGCACTAGCTTAGAGCTGCAGGCTGGCTGCCCTGGATGGCAGCACCCATGCTGCACTGCCAAGCAGTGGTGTCCTTCTCTCCCTCCTTGAATGTATTCTCTGGACACTGCCTTGTGGACCTGCTCGGGAGGTCAGGTGGGACATGGGCAGTCAGATGTGCCCAGCTAGTTGTGAAAACAGAGCTCTGTCTGTTCCCTGTCTGCAGGCTTGCCTTAGCTGGCTGTGCTAGGCCTCTCCCGGGTCTGTCTGTCCCCAAGTGGTTAACTGCAGACCCCACACACCCCTTTTCTTATGAGAGAGACTGGGGTGGCCTGAGAGTGTTGGGGATAAGCACCCTCCAGCGGTTCTGTGAAGCTCAGAGTCACCCACACACCTGTGGGAGAGTCTAGTGTGAGTCATGGGCCCACTTTTCACCTGCCCTGCATCACGCCTGCCTGCTGCTGGGGGTCAGCACCCCACTTCCTCCAATCCGAACTAGAGGGAGAACACCATTACAACAGGATCTGAAACACCACCTTCCAAGGAACAACCCATCAACAACACACAGTAGTTCCTCCACTCAGAAGATATAAAGCATCAGGCCAATCCAGGCACCACAAGAGCTATACCATGTTTAAGGGTTGGAGACATGACATAGCTATTAAGATGTCATTTTTGTGCAAACCAAGTTACAGAATTGATGAAATTATAACAAAAACTTGATAACTTTTTGGTGGGCATTGACACACTAATTCTAAAATGTCCATGGAAATGCAGAGGTTAAGAATATCCAAACTATCCAGAAGAAGGAGGAGAAGGGAGAAGGAGAGGATGACTGCTGGGCACTTGTACTCCTGGGGTCACAGCTTCACAGGCTATAGGCCACGTGGATTGCACTAGGTCACACAGACCCACAAGCAGCAGTGTTCTGAGGCAGAGGGCCTGGGCTTGTGGTGAACGCTCAGTGCTGCTGTTGGCAGGAGGAAAGGGCTCTCTGTTCAGGAGAGATGCAGTGCCAGCCAGACCCGATGGGAGGAAGAGGGATCTCATCTCCTCCTTCACACCACATGCAGACCATGGAGGCACACTTTCCCGGAAGGCACACAGCAGGGCAGAGTTAGGAGATCCATGAGGAAAGATCTCTTAAGCAAGACCAAAAGGCAGGAGTCGGACTGTGCATTCCCTGCAGAGTTGAGTCAGCCAGGGGCACGCAGCCCAGGCCCAGGAGGAAGAGGCAGATTGGACGGTGACCACGAGAAGGACAGTCTGGCAGCACACACCTGCATGTGTCCATGCCTCCACATGCAGCACACGGCACGCATACATCTGAAGACCAGTGAGTACATGCAAAGACACTCAGTCTGGATGACACCCGAGTTGCCGCAAACAGGAGGCCTGTCCACCTTGGTGGCTGTACTGGGACAGACTGAGCTCCAGGTGTCACTGAGGGAGTGTGTTCTGGAACCTGCTCACCTCTACCATGGAACCTCCTCTCCCCGGGACACAATGGCCACCTGTGGCTGTCCCCATGGACCTGTGGCATCCTTTGCGCTGGCCAGTGTGAAGCAGCCAAGCATTTACTGCAGAACAGCCCAGCTGGAGTGTGGTCACACAGCCAGAGCACAGCCTGAAAATGAGAACCTGCCACCACGCCTGAGCCAGCCTCAGTGGTGCTGTGGGCAGGACCGACCAGAGGACGTAGCTCCCCACTGCTGAGCCTTGGAGGATGGCAGAGCACCTGAGGTGGGGCCCAGACCACGACGGGGATAGAGGGGCCTTGGAAGGCCAGACCCTGTCCCCTCACCTGGCAATGTCCCCTCACCTGGCCCTATCCACTCACCTGGCCCTGTCCACTCACCTGGACCTGTCTCCTCACCTGGGCCTGGCCCCTCACCTGACCCTGTCCACTCATCTGGCCCTGGCCCCTCACCTGGACCTGCCCCCCAGCTGGCCCTCTTCACTTAACTGGCCCTGGGCCCTCAGCTGGTGGGCACACGGGAGTTCTCTGCCGGCCCAGAGCTGCCTGTCCCATCTGGCCCACCAGCCTGCACCCTGCTCATTCACAGAGCTCCTGAAGAAGCACAGAGCCACCGGCTCTTCAGGGAGGCCTCCGGGGGCCACTCCCACCACGAGGAGTCCCTGCCCATGGCCCCAGGCTACCCTCCCCAGAGCCCGACTTGGACAACACTGACCAAGGGCAGCGGCACATCTGGGCTGCTCTCTGCCCCTTCTCTGCGAAACCCTGTCGCCTGTGGGCGATTGAATCTACCTCTCAGTCATGGCCACAGTCACAGCCAGGCACCCTTGCCACCCACCCCTCCAGGTCAGGGCCACAGGTCTGACCACAGAGCTGCCGGACCCCTGGAAGAGGTGGCAGAGCTCATCCCCTCTGCATGAGTTTACTAGTCACATTCATCACAGGGAGCTCCTTCCAGGGGACCTTCTCTCCATAAACGTGGCTGGCTTTTACAGGTGGACCTAGGGGTTTTGCAGTTTAACAACTGGAGTAAGAGTCCCTGGAATAAGGGCCAGCTCAGGTGAAGGCCGACACGACTTTTTCCATGTTTCAGACGGATGTGATGCACCAAAACATTTATGACTACATCCACGTCGAGGACCGCCACGACTTCTGCCGGCAGCTGCACTGGGCCATGGACCCCCCCCAGGGGCTCGGCCAGCCCCCGCGCCCAGACACAGGTGGGTAGGCAGCTCGGAGCACTGTGCACACAGCTGACACCTCTTTTTCCTCTGCCACCATGTGGGACTCCACACTGGATCCTGCCTCCTCAGAGACCTCCCTGCCCAGCAGTCCGACAGTGGGCTGGTCACACAGTACCATGAGTGGCTCCCGAGGGTATTGGTGCCCCGGCTGCTCTGCTGTGCTCTGTAGCCAGGCCTAGGACACCCTTTGTGGTTGGCCCTCCACCCCTATGACAAGAACCGGAGGTGACCGATTTATAAAGAAGGAAGGTTTCGGGGCTGGGGATGTGGCTCAGGCGGTAGCGTGCTCGTCTGGCATGCGTGCGGCCCCAGGTTCGATCCTCAGCACCACATACCAACAAAGATGTTGTGTCTGCCGATAACTAAATAAATAAATAAATAAAAAGAAATTGGGAGGATATAAGAATTAAAAAAAAAAAAAAAAAGAAGGAAGGTTTCTTTAGCTCAGATTTGGTGCTTCATCATGGTTGTGGGATCACTGCTTTCAGACCTGGGGGGGGGGCAGCCCATCGTGGTGGGGGCTGCTGGAGGAGCAAAACTGCTGACCTCCTGGAGGGAGGCTGGGGTCCCACTGCCTTCAAGGACATGGCTCAGTGACTGACACCAAGGCCCCAGCTCTTAGAGCTACGTCACCTTGCAGTGGTACCACGAGCTGGGGTCTGAGCATGTGTTCCTGACCCTTGGGACACAGACTGCAGGCACCCTGCGGGCTGAGACCCAGTCCTTGCCGCCTCTTGGAGTTGCGCAGTCTCTGGCTTCACAAACTCCCTCAGGCTCCTGTCTGCCAGGAAGTTTCTTGGCCCAGTTTACAAGATCTGAAAAAGCCCCTGGAAATGTTGGCTCCTCAGGGCTGGTGCCCCTTACCTGTGGGGAACAGGTGATGGTGGACGTGGAGGGGCCAGGGCAGGGGTCCTGGGGTGGGTGGCATCTCCCTGGGATCCCGTTCACTGCATCTTTCACACCACACACACACACACACACACACACACACACACACTGATAATTCCAGGAAAGGTCTCCAGCTCAGCCTCAGGCAGCAGCATGATCCAGCTTGCAGAGTTGGATGAACAGACCAACCTCAGGCTTCTAGAGCAGGGAGGTTTTACAGATATGGTAAAGGCAGGGGACCGTGAAGGTAGACCCTCGTGGCAGCAGTCTCTCCAGGACTGCAGGGAGTCAGGGCCACGTGGAGGGCTGAATGGCTCCCACACAGTGTGAAAGCCCATCTTGGGCACATGTGGCTCCCTCCTGGCCCACGTCTCCCAGCCTCACCACCACTCCCTGGGCTGTCCTGCAGGAGATGACAGTGTTCTGCGGAGGCTGCTCAGGGCCCAGGAAGGAGGCTCCGGCTCTCCCACCGAGTACTCAGCCTTCCTGACCCGGTGCTTCGTCTGCCGAGTGCGCTGCCTGCTGGATAGCACCTCTGGCTTTCTGGTGAGTGGGTGGGACCTGAGCGGGACCTGGCCTGCAGCCCGCTCTGGCTCCCTGACACCTGGGTCCCTCCTGTCCTGGGGTAGAGGGGACCCTGCATCCTTGGACAGAGAGGAGGAGCCCTGGTGGGGTCTCCAGAGGCTCCACGTGTCCCCTTGACACCACCAGGTGTGAAGGACTGGTGAGGGGGGCAAGTGGGACCCACTGCAGGTCACAGGCAAAGCACTTGGAAACGGAGGTCACTTGGTGCTGGAGGGGAGTTGGGCCTTACCTGAAGCCGTTCCTGACACACCCTAGCCTTCAGCAGAGTCTGCTGGGACCCCCGTAGTCCTGCCCAAGCCTCTGGTTGCCGCCTCTTCCTTCACAGACTTGCTCTGGGGGTTTCCACGTCTTGACCCATGGTGTCCTCTTCCAGCTCCTCACTGAGAGGGAGGCGCCCTCCTCCTGGGAGTAGCTGAGCAAGGGTCCTCCGGCCCACGCCCACCCCGCAGGCCCCCCGGCGTTTGCCTCTGTGGAGCCTGCACCTGGGTCCCTGCACCTGCCCACTCCTCTGGTTCATGCTGTGCTGAGAGCCACAGGGCCCTGCCCTCCTCCCAGGCAGCCACCAATCAGCACCTGCAGGTCTCTCACCAGAGCCCTGGCTGCACAGGACCTTGGGGCTCAACTTCCAGGCCTGTGCCAGGGCCCATGACCAGGGACTCCTGTGACCACTGCCTGTCACACCCTAATGGGACCGAGGGCTGGGGGTCCCACCTCCCTGGGCTCTGGGTGTCCTGTCTCCTGGACTGTGGGCTCTGGGGAATCCTCTCTCCCCATTCCTCACCTGGACTTTTGGCTCTGGGGGTCTCTTCTCCCTGACTTTGAGCTCTAGGGGTTCCCCTCACCCCATCTGGACTGTGGGCTCTGGGGATCTCTTCTCCTCACCTGGACTCGGGACTCTGGTCTGGTCCTGATAATTTAGAAGTGGAACATTTAAGCTGAAATAGCCCTCAGAGGACCACCACAGTTGCTACCGGGCAGGCAGCTGGTGGCTTAGGCTCTCCTTGATGGCAGCCTAAGCCAAGRCGCCGGTGCCACCTGTGTGCAGGCACACAGCCATGAGCGCTCACACAAGAACACCCTGTCCCTGCAAGGCGACACCCGTCACAGAGCCACCAAGGTCACCCGAAGGCYTGGGTGGGGCTGGTCTGCAGGAGGCAGACCTGCACGTGGGTGGGGCCCAAGGCTCCAGAGCAGAGCGTCGTCCACACCCTCCCCAGCCACGCTTCAGCTGTCCTCGCCCACTGAGCCGGTTCCTTCTGAGGCTGTGAACGCCCCTTTCCTTCTGCTTTCACCTGCCAGATGATGCAGTTTCAAGGGAAACTAAAATTCTTGCTGGGACAGAAGAAGAAGGCACCATCAGGAAGCATCCTGCCCCCGCGGCTCTCCCTGTTCTGCACCGTGGCGCCGGTCCTCCTGCCAGCCTTGGCAGAGGTGAAGATGAAGGGTGCGTTTCTGAGGGCCAAGCACAGGGTGGACACCTCGGCCACAGTGGACCCCAGGTGAGCAGGAGTCATGGCAGCACAAAGCACCTGCACATGCAGCGGGCCCAGTGTCGTCTTTGTTCATTTCTGTCAAGTAGTGTGTCACCAGGTAGGTGACAACCATTAGGAAAAACTGTTTCAAACCCTCGTCTGCAGACACTAGCTTCCCATCCTGCCCATCCTGACTGACCCATGCTGGCCTGCCAGAGAACCACTCCACACGAGGACGGTGCCTTGGTCTGCCGCCTCCGGGCCTTCTTCCTCGCCCGCCTCGAGTCAGTGGCCCATCCGGGGTCAGTGGCTGTGCTGCTGCAGGGCCCTGGTCCATCGAGCCTGGTCCTGCMAGGCTTTCTGAGCTTCTCAGAAGTGGAAAATGCCCAGGGCGAGGTTTTCTGGGGCACACTGTCTGCTGTGTCTTAGAAGGGGCCACCTGTGTTTCCCATTCACTTTTCCCCCGAGCGCGGGAGATGACTCCTTGGAATCCCATGTGGGGGCTCTGTGTGGGAAGGTCCCCAGGCCCCAGCCCCTCCTCCGGCCTCAGTGAGCTGCAGAATGCTCCCAGAGCACACTCAGAGCCAGGGCCACAGAGGATCGCCACGGCCAGTGTGGCTTGGAGAACATGGTGCCAGAGGCGTGAGGCTCTCCAGCACGGTCTCTGATCGGCATCCCAGTTCTAGCCAAAACCACCTGGCCTCCCCCTCACAGGAGCTGTCCAGCTGCAGGATGCTCAGGGAACAAGGGCCCTGGCATCTCCTCCTAGAGGCCTGGTCCCTCCTAAGGGCAGTCGGGCCTGTGGACAGCACTCCTGGGCCTCCTCAGGGCTGTCCTCCTTGCCCCTCTTGTGGGATGGGCCTCACAGAACTGGGCCGGCCCCTCTGCAGGTCCTCAGGTGAAGGCCAGAGACCTGGTCTCTGTCGCGAGTCAGCCTCTGCTGTGCTCAGCCCTGGCCCTCGGCCTGTCCCTTCAGCCTGCAGCTGCTCTCAGAAATCGCTTGTGGACCTGCGTTTCTGTCCGTGGTTCTCCACTTCGAAGGGCAGCCAGGGCCAGCAGGAAGGAGACTTGAGCAGGCCTCTGACTTGGCACACTGATGGGGTGGGTGTGAGCCTGCTGCAGCTCCCAGGAGCCATCGGCTAGGGCCCCCCACAGCCTCCAGGCTGTGGGCTCTGCTCACACACAACAAGCCGGCGGTTCTGGAGAGGCTGCCCGCTCCTCCCTGGCATTGCCGGAAATCCTGCCCCATCGTTCTCCCTTCACCCTCTAGCTGCAAGTCCTCCGGCTCCCCTGGGACAGGAGCAGTGTGCTGGCTGTTCACAGGGACCCGGCGAGGCAGGCTGGGTGGCACTGCTCCCCAGACAGGCCTGCAGAGCTGTTCTTCCTCCTCTGGCTGTGTTCCTCAGCTCTCCCGAGATCATCTAGATGGGCCCCGGAGCCGACGAGGGCTCAGGCCTGGGGCTCCACCACACCAGCACCCGCCTGCCCAGCAACCCAGACGACTGTCCTCAGTCCTCGTCCACGGAAAGGGGACTCAGCTGGTCAGGGTTGGCCCACTGGACCCCACAAAGTGGTGGGTGCCTCATCGTGGGCCCTGCCTATGCCAAGGCTGGAGGCCAGGGCCCAAGGTCTGTCCTTCTGCAGGGCCTCCCTCACCTCCCGTCCCTCTGGGAGGCTCTCAGTGAGGAGATGTGGTGGCCTCAGTGTTTCCCCCCACAGCTGGGTCCGTGTTCCTCCTCCTCGTTCTGTTGTGTGCAGGGCGGATGGAGGGTGGCTTCCAGGACAGGCTCCAGCCTGGGCACACCAGGTCCCCTTTGGTTCTGCCTGTCTGACAGGCCTGTGCCCATCCTTACTGCTAAGGACGAGAGATGGGAGCTCCCAGGGAGGGCCACCCCCCAGTGGAGAAGGGGCGAGGGCGAGACCAGGCCAGGCCAGAACCCGGCTCTGCTCAGGCGGACAGGTGGGGCAGCCTGGGGCCTGCTGGGCCCACTCCGAGGAGCCCCAGCTGCACGCACCACGTTCTCCTGCTCTCTGGGTTGAGCTGGGTCTGACGCAGGGTCCCAGGACTCAGCCTGGGCTCCTCTGGAGCTGACCTGGAGAGCACACCCCTGCCCCCTGGAGCCCCAGCAGAGGGCGCAGGTGTGGGGTCCCTGTGGTAGATGACCGGGCAAGGGGAGGCACCGCGGGGGACCCCACACTCACAGCCTAGGAGGATGAGGGACGGCCACCGGAGGACACAAACCCTCCAGTCTCCCCCTCGAAGGCTGCTCTGGGGCAGACAGGCCGGCAGCCAGATGACAAATGTCGTCTCCCGGAGCCTTTCCTGACAGGTCTGGTGACAGGCTGTGGCCCCGCTCCACACTTGGAGCCACTGTGCGATTCTCTTCCTCACGAGTATTTACTTCTGATGCAGAGTGGACACTGGCTGCACTCTGTGACCACAGACTCACAGTGATGGAAACGGGGTTCCCAGGAAGTGCGTGCTCCCCTCAGAAACCCTGCCTCTCTGGCCTCAGCTCCCCAGAGGGAGGGAGACTCAGCCAGGTTGGGCGGAAGTCCTCTGGTATCTTCTAGTGGTCAGCTCCAGGCCCTCAGCTCCTCCTCTAAAAAGAAAACAGACTATGAGGAGGAGATTGTGGCTGTCACTGCACACCTCCCCCAGAGCTGCGGCCGGTGGTCTCAATCTGCTCGTACTGACTCTTGGAGAACTTTGTCCCTGGAGTCCACTGTTCTCCCTGCGGCCTTCCAAGAAGACGTCCAAGCCCTAAATCAAACGCCTTGTGTGGGCAGATCTACCTCCAGAGCAAATTCCTTGTCCTGGCTCAAAAAATGGCGTGTCTCAGATGGTCTGGAATCTGTCCCCGATGAAGGACCTGGCAGTCTGTGGGAGTCAGCGAGTGGGAACTCTGGCCCCCTCCTCGGGTGACAGTGCCACCGTGTGCCTGCCCCATCTGCACACTCATGCCACTCGGCTCTTGTCTCCACAGGGCCCAGGCCACCGCAGCTCTGTGTGGACCAGACCCACGTGCAAAGCCCAGCTTCACTGCAGGTACTTCTTGAAGTCCCTCTGACGCCCTTCCCACCTGGGCGAGACACAGCGTGTCCCCTGGAGAGCCGGCTCCCTCAGCCCTGGGGATCTGTGGAAATGCCACTTCTGAGGGTGGAGGGTGCCCACAGGGACAGTTGCCCTGTTGCTCTGGTCCTACGGCTCAGGAACTTGGGGGCCACACTGCACCTAGACCAGCGCCCTCCAGGACCCCAGTGACAGGCTTTCCCTCTGACCCCCCGCAGGAAGCAGCCATGGTGAAAACTGCGTTCCCCTGTTCAGGTCACAGGTGGACACTGGCCACTGGACCCGGGCTCCCAGCAGGGCCCTGTGCCTGTGCCTCAGGGGTGGCCCTGAACTCATCCTGGACCCCACAGGGGCTGCAGGGTAAGTGGTGCCGGCCACCCCACCCCGCCCCGTCACCATGGAGGCCACAGAGGGAGGTGGGGAGAGGAGCCAACGGTGGCCTTGACTGCTGGGAGAGGACCCACTAGGCCTGGCCATTGGTGCTGTCCACACAGCTCTCAGCCTGGACGGTGTCCACCTGCAGGGGCAGTAGGGAGGAGTGGGCTTTTCTTGGAAACCCTCTGCATTCCCCATCCCGTCCACACCACCCGGCGGCCCCTACCTGCCACTCTGCCCTGACCAGTGGGTCTGCCTTCCCAGACTGACCACCATGTGTCACCCTCAGCCAGTCTCCTGTGATGCAGGTGTGGTCCCTGTCACACCTGGCCTGGCCACAGAGTGGCTTTTCAGTCTGACAGCCTTCCCACCATGGCAGACCTGACTGGCGGGTGCTGCTGGACTGCACATGTCCCAGAGAAGTGCCTCCTGCGGCACAGGGTGGGAAGCAGGCCGGGCCTGGCACCAGCCTGCCCCCCTTGAGCCTTCCTGGACTTGGAGCTGTGGGAGCTGAGGTGAAGGACAGGAGGGGGCAGGCCTGCGGGCTGCTGGGTGGCTGTCAGGGACCACCTGGCCTGAGGCCTGGCCTGCAGCTGCCCCTGCACATGGAGCTGGGGTTTACCAGCACAGATTTACCCCAGCACCCTTCCGAAGAGGTCGACCCCAGGGGAGGCCCATCAGCTGTCACTCAGCCCCACACTGTCTTGCTCTGCAGCGACGGGGAAGACGCAGAGCAGGAGAGAGTGCTGAGCGGCTGTGCTGCAGGGAGAGGCCGGCGGGAGACACAGGYACACAACTGCTGCTGGGAGACGCCAACACCCATGAGGCACCCCAGCTGGACGGCAGACAAGCGAGACAAGCCGAAGCCACAGCCCACCAGGATCGAGCGGCCATCCATGCGCGGTGTGTCCCACGTCTCCTGCATGCCTTACCCAGAAGCCCAGGGCATGCTCAGTACCAGTGGCACAACCCCCTTCAGAAGTTCACCCCTCTCGCCCCTGCCAGGCTCTCCCCACAGTGCCTACTGCAGCAGGCCCAGCAGACCCCTACGGGACCTCCAGCAGGAACAGGGGCATCCTCCCTGCCACACCCTGCAGAGTGGTCTGGAGAAGAGGCTCCCTGTGCCCGGAGCACAGTGCTTCCCAGCTGGGGGCTACTCTACTGAGGATGCCAAGTTGCCTGGCCTGCTGGTGTCCCCAGGGGCCCCACGCAGTCCAGCACTGTTGCTTGAAGTGCCAATCAAGGTGGAAAATGACTCTGGGTCTGAGGAAGCAGTGGACATCTGCACCCCCAGCCAGGTATGGCTGGGAGCCAGCAACATGGCCAAGAGACAGCTGGTCACTTTTCCTACCAGGATGCACCTGAAGACAGAGTTGGACTGCAGGCACCAGATCCACACCCCGCACCTCGTGCATGGTGTGGTAGGGGCTCACCCCCACAGCCAGGCCACCACTGAAACCAGCAGGGAACTTGTTCCCTTCTTCCCTTCACCCTGCGCCTGCCTGGAGCCAGAGCCCCCCCTCCACCTCTGCACACCCAGCTGCCCCGAGCACCAGCACCTGGCCCGGGGCTGTGACTGCAGAGCTCCCAGGGCTGCTGCTGTGGTCAAGCGCGAGCCCCTGGACTCGCCCCCCTGGGCTGCTGCTCCCGGCCAGGGAGCCGTGCCCAGGTTGTTTCCCAAAAGCACCTCAGCCTTCCTGCCCTAACTGTGGCTCTCCAGCAGGCCAGTCGGTCCACACTCAGTCCACGTTGGCTGCCTCCCCCAGGTGGTGGGTGTGACTGGAGCCAATTCAAGTGGTGCTCTTGACAGTGCTGCCCCAGGCACCTCCAGCCCAGGGTGGTGCCTGTGCTGTAGGGCATTCTGGAGTTTGTGAAGTTTCCCAGGAAATCATACGTGCAAGCTTGAGTCTATTCAAGCAGGATGGTGTTTCTCTTTGAGAAGTCAAAATGTGTCAGGGAAGGGCCAACATCCCTTGCCCCCAAGGCCACCATCAGAAGCTTCCAGTGATGTCTCATGGCCTCCTGAGCTCCCACCCCTGCCACCTCCTGTCTGTGTGGACATCTGAGGCACACAGACTACATGTGCAGCAGGCCTCACTGGGGGAGGCTGAGCCCAGCCACGGATCTGGAGGTTGTGGGCACCAGGTCCTCTGCAACTCCAAGCCAGGGCTCCAGGCCACGCCTGGCATGGAGGTGGATGGGTCCCTTCCAGGAACCTCCCAGTGTTCTCTGCGGGGCCCTGAGGACCGTTGACTCCTCAGCCTGGGTGTCTGGCAGTACCCACGCAGCCAGCCTGGGAGGCGCAGGCAGGCTGAGGAAGTGGTGCCCTCCAGGGTGTCCAGTGTTCCTGGATGCTGCAGCCAGCCTGCTGGAGGACTCGTACGGTGTCCACTCGTTTTGCCTGTGTGGCCCCCTCTTCCTCAGGGACCAGTGGTCCTCTGAAGGCCTGCCCCGGATCTGGGAGTGCTGACGTCTGCTGGGCGTGCTCCCAGGCTCCACCTCCTAGGGGTCCTCATAGGTGGCCTGGGGTCAGTATTCAGCTCCAGCTTAGAGCAGAGGCTGCTGGGATGCACGTCTCCTTGGTCAAAACTCAGGTTTGTTCTGCAAGATGGGTCTCCTGCCAGCCCCTGGTCTACCTGGTGTGTCAGGAGAATTCGCCTGGGGCAGGAATGGGGCTGAGAGTGTCCCACTCACCCACCTAAGCCAGGGTGGAGAGTGGCCACGTACAGCCTCTCCCTCTCTGCCCAGCCCTCAGCGGCCTTTCAAAAGGTGACAGGGGTGCTGCTCTGTCCTGGCAACCGGAGGACTCCTGGCCTCCACTCCTGCCACCTGGCACAGAAGTCAGGACGGGGAGCCCAGCTTCTGCTTCCCTGCTCAGTCCACTGGCCCAGTGTCCCAGTGTTACCCAGTTCTGCCCCACACAGCTTACCCCTGCTCTCTGGGAACTTATGGATTTAGTCTTGAGAGTAGAAGTAGATCCAGGATTTTCACTTTCTTCTCTCACCAAATGCCCAGCTCCTGACTGTGGAGATCCCTTTCCCATCAAGGTGACAGAATGCTCCCGTCCATGGCCATGCCACCCTTGCCTGCCCAGAGGGCTTGGCCCAGCCAGGTCCTCCTCATCTCCCCGCCCTTCACCTGAGGACTGCTTGCCTCCCAGAGGGGAACCAGCTCTTGCTCTGCAAGGGCTGACAGAGGGCAGAGAGCGCTGCAGACAGTCAACACCTCCTGTGTCCTAGAGCCAGGGAAACCTGAAACAATGAGGTCAAGAAGATGGAGCGAGGGATGTCTCACGTTTGCCAACAGTAGCCAGACACCCCTTCTCCCCTGCACCACGTACCTACCAAGAGCTGCGGATGCCCGAGGCCTGGACAGCCCTGCGCAGAGGGCCATTCGACCCGTATTCCCTCTGAGAGGACCGACAGAAGTCAGGCGAGGGCCACCTGGAAGGCCATGCTTTGTGGACAGAGCTCAGCATCCACTCCTCCACTCTGCAGGCTTGATATGTGGGGACAGCCACGAGTGCTGTGGACCTTGGATATGTGGGGCCCACGCTGTGCCTGGGCAGCACCTCGCCCTGCCCTCCAGTCAGAAGTTCTATAGCTCAGTCACCACGTGCCTCCTGAGAACCTAGAGTGCCTGGCCACTCCTTCATGTTCGCCACACCCTGCGGTGCACTTTGTGCTGCCCAGGGCCTCGAGAGCACTCAGCCATGTCTCACACACTGCCTCTGTCACACTTTTGCAAAATCTATGTAAAAAGTTGCAGGTGCAGGTGCGTCCAGTGTCAGTGGAGCCTACATTTCCAGACAGAGTCACTGTTTCCTGCCACAAAGGGGTTGAGTTTACAGTGGCACCCTCCCCAGGTGGAAACGCTGGAGTTAAGGGCACAGGAAACACCGCACCCTCACCAGGCCCTCCCCTGTGTCCCTGAGGGTTGGGGACCCTCTGGGGCCTCAGACCCCCAGACTTGGGCTGTCCTGTAAGGGCAGAGCTGAGGGACCCTGTCACAGGACACTGGTGACAGGTGTGTGGGAGGGGCAGGGACCAGGGAGCTGGGCTTTCACTCCCTCTGGTCCAAGAGCACCCCTGATTGAAGAGTTTCAGACCCCTGGGCAGAGTGGTGGTCACCACAGGCCTCGCCACCTCTCCCCCGGGGAGACTAGCCAGGCCCCTCTGCTGGGATGGCTCGGCCATTTGCAGGACCCCAGGTGCACTTCCACCTTCCCAGCAACGGCCGGTGGACCTGAGGGGTTGCTCCACTGGCCCAGGCACCGCCCCAGGTGTCGACTGTGGCTGGGAGACAGGGCAACATCCCTTCACCAGGCACCATGGGGGCCCTCCCATGGCAGCACCCTGGCACTGTGGCTTCTGGCGGGTGAGTGGGCAACCACTTCACAGGCACTTGTCCCTCTCACACATTCTGTTGTCACTGTGGAGCCCCTGCTAAAAACTAGAGGGCCTGTGCCAGGTGCCCGGGATCCATGCAGGAGGAGCACAGGGCCCAGTGCATGGTGTCCTGTGGGCAGCTGATGGCGGCCACAGGAAACACTTGAGCTCTGTGCTGGTGGCAGAGCACGGGCACTCTAAGACAGAGTGGTGGGGAGGCACATCCTCATGGTGGCTGCACGTGGGGAGGCTAGAGCTCAGGGCAGGAGAGGCAGGACTGGGTGTGGGTGCAGGCCCAGCCTGTGAGCCAGTCTCCCCAGACCAGGGGAGCCACGCTGCCGGGGGGCAAAGGCTGGGGGACCCAGGCCTCCCTCCGGCAGGCTGAGAGAGGCAGGGTCCTGGCCTCTCCACCCGGGGCTGTGTCCTCCCACCCTTGTCACGCTTGGGTCACTTGCAGTGTCATTCTCCCACATAGCAATCTCTGCTCAGTTACAAACACCCAACGTTTTCTCTCTGCTCTACCTTGTCTTTTCATTCCTCATATCATACAGCCATTTAGCATTTCCACACAGAATTTGGTGTCTTCGTGGCTTTCTGTGTCTTTGTTACTGTCTCTGGCTGTGGCTTCTGACAGAACCCACGCTGTCTGATGTTAGCGTCACCCCGAAAACCTCCTCAGGCCTTACTGGCTGGCATGCCAAAGCCCCTTCACTGCGAGCCCTTGTTCTTCATGTGTACATACCCGTTTCACTGTCTTTGACCCATTAGCCAATGACCTAGGTCCAGATTATTAATGATTTTGAGCATTTCCCCCTCTTTCAGTTCAATTTCCCTTGACCTGGTCCCCCTTCCTAGCCTCCTCTGGAATCCCTGGCACTCTCCTCCCTCTCCCACCTCCACTTGTTTGGAAGCTGCAATTCTGTCTCCTTAATGGCTATTCCTAACAACATGGGACAAAGCAAGATGTCTGTCCTCCCTGAACCAGGCCCAGACCTCAGACACCTCAGTACTCTCCCTCTGGCTCCCAAGCAGCCCCTGGGGGGTTGAGGAAGCACCAGGAAGCCTCCCAGGGTGAGGAGGGGAGTCCAAGATCAGTGCTCTCTGGGCCTTCCCCACTCCTAGTCCAGCAGTCAGGCAGGACGATGCTCCACGGAGGTCACTCCACTGCGGGAGCCAGAGCTCTGCCCCGCTCTGCCCTGTGTGGGTACAGAAGCCCAAGCCTGGGTTGTAGGCCCTTCACATGCTCACGGGGGGCAGAGCCTCTGCTCAAGCACCCCCTTCTCCATTCTTGTTTCTGCCATGTCCTCCTGCGCTTACCCATGACTCAGCTGACTGCACAAGGACACTTGCTGTGTTCACCTCACATCCCTGGGTGTGGGGAGGTTTCTCTTCTATTTCATCTGCTAAACACCCCAGAAAGTTTTTTTTAAATGCCTTTATGTAGCATTTATTTTAGATAATACTGGATTCTCAACAAGTTTTATTAGACTTTTTCCAACCTGAAGGCAGATTTAAACTATCTCCATCTTGCAATATGTCCACGATTACAACCACATCAGAGACACGATTACAACCACATCAGTTCCGGTAAAAAGAAGAAAGTAGGAACATCACATTGTCATGACTTAAAAATTCATAGGTAACTGCTGCCCTTGAGAAGAGGGAAGAAGATGATCCCAATCATGGAGGCTCGGACAGAGGCGGGAACACAGCTCCCACACTCAGCCCTTGGTTGTTCATGAACATCAGAAGACCCTTAACGTTGTTCACGTCTTCTGCTTAAAAAGAAGCGGGGCTGGCCAATCTGCCTTCCAGGCTCACTTCAGCCTAGAGTCGGGGAAAGCACACAAAGACAAGTGTTTCCTAGGTATCGGCAGACCACAGGCTGGAGAAGTGGGGCTCCAGGCGCCCCCCCCCCCCCCCCGCCATCTTTACAAGATGGTCAGATGCAACAAGATGCTCAGCCAGGTGGGTGAAACCACCTGAGCCACGCTGTCACCATGCCAGGGTCCTGTGACCTGCAGGTTCCCACAGCATTTAAAGACGTGTGACAGATTAAACCAAAGTTCACCAGAATTCCTAGCCAGGGTGTCAGACATCAAGTAGAACTTCCTCTTGGTAAGTACCTCCTCCACACCGAGGTGTGCTCTCCATGCAGAGGTTCACCTCAGGACCACAGCGCTCAGGAGGCACTCTCATGGCTTGACAGTGACAAGACGGTCACTTTATGTGGAGTGACACTAGTCTGTGTGCTAAGAGCCAGTTCAGAGACCCTGAGTAAAAACCCAGGCATGCTGAGCCCCGGGTCCAACCATCGA